GGGATGCAAAGAACAGTTACTCATAGATTCAGTCATTCTACGGCAAGCACACAAACAACACAGAAACATACACATGGCATATATAGACTACAGAAAAGCATTCGACAGTGTTCCACACAGTTGGCTGCTACATATTCTACACATGTACAAAATACATCCATCACTCATTGCATTATTCCAAAACATTTTATACTTTACTTGTGAGCACTAAATTGGCCTTTCTTTATTGCTAGACTTATTATTACACCACCAAAGGACATCAGATTAGCCTTAGAAAATCACATTATTTAGTGCATTTCAGACCTTAAGTTTTTCATCGGCTTGTTGTACAATAACTATATTTTAATAAAAAACATGTAAGTTAGTTTGTGTTGACAATAAGGAAATTTTTAGGTTATAATTCAACTTACATAATCATGAAATTGATGTTAGCACATTTACAAAAAGTACAATAAAATTATGACGATTGGTAAAATAACTATGATAAAATATTGATTACAGATCAGAATTTCCAAGTGTTTGCTACATTATTAAAAGGATATTAATGATTTTAAAGTACCGCAAATAGCATAAATGAAAAAGGTTGTAGATTTACATTTAATGTGCTGATTTGATGCTTAGAATGTTAAAATTCAACAAGCAGTAAAACAAAAACAAAAAAATACGTAATAAAAGACACTGTTAAAACAGTAAAATAGTAAACTGATTCACTGTAAAATGATAAAATGATTCAAAGCACATTTTAGAATTGCTGCCATTTTCTCCCTCTTTATTTATACACACTCATTTACCCTGCGCCCCCTCTGGTCAAATATGCATACCATGATTCATATAATTTTTGGCTGAAATAATTATTCATGATTTTTTCTTTGTTTTTTATTATTTCTAAGTGCTCATACCATCTTCTTTTATAAGTATTAGATTTTTTAAAAACTATTTTAACAGTGTCCCTCATAATTTGACAGCCGTCTTTATTACAGTGGATAGCTACAGCTGAGTTGTTATTATTGTACTTGATGGCAGAAATATGTTCTTTAAAACAAACCTTTAATTCCCTACCAGTTTCCCCTATATAAAATTTGGGTATGGTACAGTTACATTTTAATTTATAAATAACATTTTTTTGATCCCATATGTTAGTCTCACTGTTATGTACATTTATTTTTCTACATAAACTGTTGTGTTGTTCTGGTACCTAAATAATACCATAATTATTTAATTTATTCTTAATTCTTTCAAAAATATTTATTTCATAAGGGATTTAAAAAAATTTATGTTGTGTTGTCAATTGGTTGTTTGTGTGTATTATCTTTTTAATAGTAATCCAGATACTGTATANGTACACTACGAAAACAACAAAATAAATTATTCACAAACAATGAAAAACTTTTCTACAGACAAATCAGTACTAAAACAAACACTGATACACAGCACAGTGGCACACCAACAGAAGAAGAACTCACAACTTATTGGTCATCTCTTTGGTCCAATGCTGTGTAACAGCATTGGACCAAAGAGATGTTACATTTAGCCAAAGAGATGTTACATTTAGCCAAAGAGATGTTACATGTAGCAGAAAGTGTTAGCTAAAAATAGACTTATTTATAGAACAATCCCCCATTTCTCACCTCAGGGAAAGTCATAAAACAGTTGGGTGCTAATGACTTTGTGAAAGGGAAAAAGTTCTAAACTTAGAAACTTCGAAAGAAGGGATTTGGCCTGTACCGTCTGTGGGTCGCATAAACATTGATAGGGGGCCGTATGTGGCCCGTGGGCCGCAGGTTGTGCACCCCTGTATTATGTCATCAGCATAGTAATTATTACACTAGTGACTTGATAAAATGTATTCCTTGGTGTCCAAAAGGATTTGACCACAATGTACACAAGGCTGCACTATAAGGAGAAATCCTTTCTGTCATGTGTATGAACAATCTATTTTGTTCAGGCTTTTTCCATATCAAGACACTTACTGGTTAAGTTGTCTTTATTCTGTGACAAGTATAAAGCATGGCAAAATATTGCAAAGTGATCCAATTGATTTTAAAACTGTGCTATTAACTCTAAATTTAACTCAGTTACTTATAATAAGATGCAATAAAAGTGGCAGATCCTGAAGAGGTGGTATAAGAAATTGGAACCACAGGTTGTCTGTATTGTATGCATGCTTAATTGAAGTAAATTTTATTCTCTCACCAGTGTATTTAAAATTTTAAGTATTCGTCTAACTGTCAAGATTTAGCAATAATACTAATAATTATAATAATTTATTCTTTTCTTATTTTTCAAAAATTGCTTATCCTTGTTAGATAAATTTAATGAATTTTATACTACTATATTTATTTTGTAAAAATGAATATAGTAGTAGAATCAACTATAATGATGGTTTTAATTCTATTAAACACAATTTTTACATTTGAATTAATATTTAACCAAAAAAACATGAAAAACATAATATAAAAGCTATACAATTTTATTTAGTNATTCTAAGCTGCACCCTTTTTATTATTTTAATGTCCTTGAAAATTGGGTAGACTTACATTTAAAAGTGGTTAAATTTTACCTGAAAAGGCATTTTTTAAAGTACCATAAATCTATTCTATACCATGTCTAATATCCCCTGACCTAATTTCATCATCATCCAATCAGTAGTATTTAGTTAGGATTCTTTTTTTTGGGAATGATATGTCAGTTTGCAATATGATAATGTTTGATTGATTATTTTATAGTATTTTTAACCTTTTGAGCTTTTGAACTTATAAAGGTTTGATGTTTGTATCAACAAGCCATTTAAGGACTAAGAAAATAATACAAAAATTGCTTTAACCACTTGTGGGAAAATAATATTGGTGAGTGCTTCAAAAATTGTGGAATGGCTATCTGTCACCTGGCAAAAGTTCCCAGAGAAATAATAATTCATTCCTTTAAAAAATGGATGGCACAAAAGATGACTTAGTTTGGGAAAATAATGATGCCAACAGCAATTTCAAAATCAGCTGTGATAGTGTGACTAATGAATGATTGTCACAATGTGATAGTGAAAGCACTTAAATACATAATTTAAAGTAAATCTTAAGATTTTTTAAATAAATTAATTCTTAACTTCTTCTTACTTCTCATTTTTACTTTCCTGGCTTTGTTAAATATATAACAAAGAGAAAGTATTTGATCAAAAATTACCTCCTCAAGATTTTTACATTTTTGGACTCAGGGCACTTTGGAACATTGAGAAATGTAAAAAAATTTGGGGATTTTTTTGTGTGTATGAATATTAGTGTGTGCGCACATGGCACAATTTTGTTCACCCTCTTTGAAGCTTAATAACTCCTGTGCTGTTTCTTGAAATTTTCTTAAATTTTGCAGGGAGGTTTGTGTATTGGGGGATTGATGATATGTTTGGTGGTCAAAGGCCAAGGGAATGGATTGATAGAGGGGATTGTCAAATCTCGAGTAGGGTCTGACTTAATGACAATTTTACATATTATTTGCATTTACTTAAAATTTGGTGGATTTGGACTTGATATTTAAAATTTTTTATAAAATTTATTCTTACCCTCAAAATTAAGTTTTTTGCCATTTTATGATAATTAAAAATATAAAAATGTTTTAAAATAAGATATTATAACAGATTGTGCCACTGAATGTTGCTGGGAAAGTTAAGCAACCCATTACTGGATTTTTTAATATGATGTAATGAAATGCAGCAGATGGAATGTATTTTTTTTTAACACTTATGAAATAAAATTTAGTTTTTGTTCAATATTACTATATAAAGAATACGAGATCTGTTTAAAAAATACGCAGACTGACGTCATAAAACAAAATGTACTTTATGTAGAAGTTACATGTCTGGGTTCCCTTCAAAGTACTCTCCTTCCCAACACACACACTTATTCCAACAGTGTTTCCACTTGTTGAAATGGTCCTGGTACACTTCTTTTGTAATGTCCTTCAGCACCTTTGTCGCATTTGCCTTAATCTCAGGAATTGTTTCAAATCTTCTTCCTTTCAAGGGTCTTTTGAGAGTGGGGAACAAGAAAAAGTCACAAGGAGAAAGGTCAGGTGAGTAGAGGGGTGGGGAAGAACATTGATCGAGTGTTTGGCCAAAAACTTACAAGTTATGAGGGCTGAATGGGCTGGAGCATTGTCATGATGGAGAAACCAATCACCACTCCTCCACATTTCTGGCATTTTGCAACGGATGGTGTCCCTCAGACGTTTCAGAACTTCAATATAGTAAGTCTGGTTCACTGTGGAGCCTTAGGGTACTGTACTGCCTTAGGGTAGTGAACAACATCCTTAGCATCAAAGAAAACTGTCAGATTCATCTTGACATTGGATCGATCTTGGTGAGCATTTTTGGGTCTGGGGACATTTCACCCACCCACTGGTTGAGCATAGCAAATGTTTCAGTTGCAGATTTTCCAAGTTTAACACAAAATTTCACAGCAAGTCATTGCTCTATCAGGTCATTCATTTTGAAATCCGACAAACGAAAAAATCGCACTTATTAAAAACCATGTAGCTAATTGACAAATAAAGATATCTGTAATCAGGAAACGGCTTTATTACCAGACGATCTGTACAAACCTAGCGACACCAAGCTGATTTCCCTGGAACCAACTGGAGCCATGCAATTCAAACAGTCCGTGTATTTTTTGAACAGACCTCGTATGTATGTATGTATGTATGTATGTATATATACAAGGTCTGTTCAAATATATATATATATTCTTTTACATAAGAAAATATGCTATAGAACTCAATAGTAGGATGTAGGATTATTGTTTTACAAACATCATTTGAATGAAAAAAAAAAAAAAAATTTTCATAAGCTAGAAACAGTTTAATTTACTGTTTAATGCTCTCTCCATTGAAAATTATATATTTTCTATGTGACACTAATGTTTGGATTTATTATGAGAAAAAGTTTTAAATGTTGAATTTTATATTTTGTTTATACTTTTAAGTGTAAAATAATTTAAAAGTTTTATGTTGCTGTTGGAATATATGTGCACCATCATCAGTAAAGGAATTCAAATAATTTAACAATCAGTTTTCTATATTAGTGGCCATTTTAAATATAAAAAATAATATTTATTAGTTTATGTGCAGGTCCTTTCAGTATTTTTCATTGCCATTTGTCTGTTAGACGTGCTCAAAGTGAGGTCTGCGAGTCGTGTGTGCGTCCATCATCACTATGGAGGTCCGATGCTTGTTGACTTTCTGGAACACAGCACCAGAATTAATGCACAGTGGTACATAGAAACTTTGCAAAAATTGAAGCATGCCATCAAATCCAAACACCCAGGAATATTGACAGACAGCATCATTCTGTTGCAGGATAATGCCCACCCGCATGATAACAAGATCGTTTTGACTGCGCTGCAGAAGTTTCTCTGGGAAGTTCTGCAGCGTAGTCCATACACATTCTCCATACAGTCCCGATTTCTCCCCATGTGATTTCCATATTTTTGGAGCCCCGAAGAAAGACATTTGTGGCCGTCAGTTTGCTTTGGATGAAAAGATGCATGCCTGGGTACAATTATGGCTCCGTAGGCAACCTCAAATATTTTTCTATGAAGACATTGACCATCTTGTTTCACAGTGCGATAAATGTATTAACAGTTATGGCAATTACTTTTGAAATAATAAACAGTTTACTTACTTTATTCCCATCTGTCTCACTTTCATTTGACTACCCCTAATTTGTTCTAATAAGTTTGCACGTTCTATCACTTTTTTGTATGTTTCGTCTATGTGTATTTTCCAATTCATTTGTCTATCAAAATATATTCCAAGGTATTTGATATAAGGAACATTTTTTATATTTTTACCACCAATTTTTATTCCTATGGGTTTCTTCAGTTGATTTCGTTTATTTTTTCGGATACATACTACTGCTTCGCATTTGTTAAAGTTGATAGGTTGTTTATAATTAATACTCCATTCATAAATTTCTTTAAGTATCATATTTGCTTCGTCTCTGAGTCTATTACAGTTTTGGTTTCATATCATGAGGAGTGCGTCGTCCATGCAGGCTTTTGGATTCTACTGTTGTTGGTGTCTGGAATTTTGTTTAGTAAACTGTCCATTGCTAAATTCCATAGTCCTGGCCCACTTCTGGACCCTTGTGGGCATCCTACATTTATTTGTTTGATGATAGTTGTACTGTTGGAGTAGAATCCTACTTGTCGATTACTCAAATAATCTTAGAGAATATCTTTGATGTTTTTTGGACACTTAATTTCATTCATACGTTTCATTATTCCTGTCCACCACATGTGGTCAAATGCCTTTTGAAAATCTATTTTTATTAAGATGGCATGTTTTCCTTTCCCCTGTGCTGTATTAAGAAATTCTTTTGCTCTTGATGCTGCGTCTATTGTTGATACTCTGTCTAAAACCATATTGGTTTTCATTTATTTGTTAATTTTTGTATTGATGCCAGATAATTCTTTTAATAATGAGTCCATCTAATATCTTTCCCATTACTGGGAGTAAGCATATTGGTCTATATTCTTCTGGTTTGTTGGGGTTTTCGGTTTTAGGTATAAATTTCACTTTCGCCTTTTTCCACGCTGTTGGAAAGTATCCCAGTCTTAAACATTCATTATATAAGTGAACTATAGCAATGGGGATTTCTTTATATATTTCTTTGATCATTTCAGCAGTTATTTGATAAAGTCCTGGGGTCTTTTTGTTTGCTAAAGTATTAATTGCTTTTTGAACTTCCTGGAATGTAAATAGCTTTGCAGATTTGTCGGAGGAATTTTGCATAGCTTGTATTCTTGTTTGTCTGTGAATCTCCAAGTCTGTAGTTATGTTGTCTTCTGGAAAATGATAATCTAATATTTTCTTTATATTGTTTCCTATATTTATATCCGTCTGATCATCTTCTAGGATGTCGGCTATATGAGTTTTGTTTCTTTTCTTGAATATAATTTTATAGGGTGTTGTCCATGGATCTTTTTTATTTAATTTGCCACAGAATTCTCTCTACGTGGAGTTTCTTTGTTTATTTATTTTCTTCTTGTAGTTTTTGAGTTCTGTATTGTATTCCTTTTTAATTCTTTTTATTTCATTCTCATTAGTGGTTCTTTCTAATTTTTTCCTTATTCTCCTTACTTCTTTTTTGTTTTGAGTGAGTTTGTGTGTCCATCATGTTGTCTTCGTATATGCAGCTTTTTTTTGAGTTTAGTCGTTTCGTCAATTGTATTGTTGTTGATTTTAGCGATAAAGTTGACGTAATGATCTAAGTCTTGTTTAGTATTAATAGGTGGAAAATCATAGGATTGCCATTTTTCTGTGAATTTCTTTCTAAAAAGGTCCCAGTTAATATGTCTGTGGATTTTCCATGTATTATCTTTTATGTGAGATAATTGAAGATATGTCATGATGTATCTATGATAGCTACATGATATACGTAAGAGCATCTCACAGTTTTGTATCTGGTGGCTAATATTGTTAGTATTTATAAAGATGTCTGTCCATCCTTCTACAAAGCCAGTGTAAAAAGTTGGTATTGTTGTCATTTATTTTTTAAAACCGCAATTTAGCGTAATAACCAACAATTGGCACGACATTTGTTTATTTCAGTTTTTGTTGATACGCACTTATACACACGTTTCGGGCTTTGTTTCACCCCTCCTCAGGTCGAATCAAACGGTCCAATATATAGTGCATGATCCCCGCTTGTGGAAATACACCAAAAAAGATGGGATATGTGATTTTAAAAGGTATGTCATGTGCTATTTGTATAATTAACGGTTTTTTAAATTCATATGTCGGGTTACGATGTGTGTAAAAATTGGTTTTATATGTTTTTAGTTGACTGAGGAGGGGTGAAACAAAGCCCAAAATGTGTGTATAAGCGCGTATCAACAAAAACTGAAATAAATGTATGTCGTGCCAAGTGTTGGTTATTATGCTAAATTGCAGTTTTAAAAAATAAATATAAAGACACAACACGGTTTCGAAATACCGAAGAAATATTGTTGTCATGTTAGACGATACCATATCGAATTCATCCATTATATTATTCATCAATCTTCCTCGCTCGTCTTCTTTAGGGCGAAACCAAGTCATTGATTTGGTATTTGCATCTCCTGTGATTATTATATTTTTTCCTCTTAGTTTTCTTAGGATAGTTTCTAATTTATTTATGCATTCCTTGTCATCTTCATAAGGTGATAAATATATACTCAGTAGAAAGATTGGTTGGTCTTGATTTATGATTACCATAGTAATACACACTAACAACCATATATGCAGAAAAACCCCCAAATTTTTTTTGCATTTCTTGATGTTTCAAGATGTCCTAAGCCCAAAAATGTAAAAAGTTTTGGTGGGTCATCTTTTCACTAATTGCCATACTTTCCTTCTGTTATATATAAAAACTAGAAAAGTGATTAAAAATTTATAATATTGAATGCAGTTTATATAATAATAACAAATTATTATAATTTTAAATTTAATTTAATATATAAAAATAATATATATTTTTATTTTACTAAAATAAAAGTTTTTCATTTTTCAGATGATACATACTCTTGCTTTATTTCAAGACAGCAGAGAAAAGTCTTGTTCAACTTATACTTCTTTGTACAGTAAATCATATTCTTATCAATCAGGATTATTATTACAAGGTTTGTTAAAGGCAAGGAGAGCTCACTTTTATTCTTTAAAATTTCTTATAAATTTTAAAGTATAAATTATAAATTGTAAATAAATTATAATTCTGTAAATTAAGTGCAAAAATGTAATCTGTATTTGTATAATTTGTCAGATAGATTAATTGCTATTGTTTCAAATAAATTTTTCAAGGATACTTATGGAAGAAGCGATTTATGGTTTCAAGATCTTAAATTGAATCCATATCCTGTTACTGTTATTGATTTAAGTCGAAAAAAGGTTCGTACCTTATTACATTCATCACAGGATGATGACAGTCATTCAAATTCAGAATCACAATCTTTAAAACATGAAAGGTAAGTTTTTTATATATGTATAAAATTGTTTTAAGAATGTTGATATATTTTTTATGTACTAATAAATAAACTATATTATTATTTTTTTCATTATGAATCAAAGTGCTTTATTATGAAGAAATTGTAAACCTTAATGTTTACTCTTTGTATCATTTATCTATATGGATATAACAGATTTTGTGTGTGTATATATATGAGAGAGAGAGATTTATATTATATGTATATAATATGTTGAAGTAATTAAATAATAATCTATAGATGATATTACTAATTTATCTTTAACATAAATAATAATGTGTATCTATAATAATAATAATAATAACTCTCCCGTGGTCACCACCTGGTCGTGGTGGGAGAGCCCAGTAATTTTACTGATCCATAGGGCAATGCAAGCTGGAGCACAAGCTCCTGGTAGGGACACCCATGCCAGTAAGGTCTATGGGGAGAAATGAAGCTAAGAGTGACCACACACCCACATTCTGTGGAGAAATTTATGATGGTAGTTACCAGATCGAAGTATGATACCGGCTCGGACGTCGCCCGGGTTAACAAGGTCCGCGTTCGTGGGTTAGGCAGAGGCTCACGTTCGAAAAATAGGCCACAGTCTCCCTTGGTTACCGATGGCGAAAGCAGCGCCGGCCCAAGCATGGCTACTGCAATGCCCTCAACAGATGTGAGGAATCAACCTAGCCTTGGTGTTTCTGTGGCAATGCATCCACAGACCACAAAGGCAGGAAAACCACGCCAACGGATGAAATGGACAACGGAAATGAACGAGTTTATCATCCGTACTTACTACACCATCACAAAACTCGAAACAAACATGACAGCATACAGACAACAACTACACCATAGATTCACACAACAATATCCTCACCTCACTGTCACCGAGCAAAGGGTTGTTGATCAGAAGAGAACAATTATACACAACAACCTTATCCCACAAACAACACTTGAACTTATCAAACAACA